TACACCAATATATCATCAAAGAACACTAACACAAACTTGCCCAAGAACTTTTGAAATATATAATTCATGGAAAACCGAAAAGTAGGCAGTGCATTGAATAAACTGAAAGCATTACTGAATATTCGTAGTGTCCTCAGTGAGTGTGAAATGTCGTCTTAGAAATGTCTTCTTTCACTACTCGAACTTGATGATATTCAGCTTGCAAATCCAATTTGCAGAAATAACAAGACCCCGTCAATTCATCGAACATGTGATCAATGCGAGGAATCAAAAAATGATCTTTAATTATAGCCACATTGAGTGTCTGGTAATCATTACAAAACCTTCATGTTCCATCTTTCTTGTTTGCAAGTAATACTAGTGAAAAAAAAGGACTCGTGTTATGCACGATCAAGCTAGACTCAAGCATCTCACGGACTTGCTTCTCAGTCTCGGTTTTCAGGGCATGAGCGTGTCAATACGGATGGACATGCACAACTTTTATTACATCCATCAAGGGAATGTGATGATCAAATGCTCATTTTGGTGGAAATTCATTAGGATCAGCCCTCACCTCGTCGAATTGTTGTAGCAGCTCATCTATCTCCCAGTGTTGTGAAGCATCTATTTTTATTTCTTCATGCTTATCCACTCTCATTGGAAAGATTTGGCTACCCTGCTTCCACAACTTCTTCAAAATTTTCAAACTCACCTCCTTAGTTACTTCGTTAGTCCCGACCTATTTGACCAAGCCATCATCCCGATGAAACTCCATCTTTCCAACCTTGTCATCCATTGTAATCAGACCCAATCCTTCCAAACACTAAACTCTCAAAACCACATCCAGACCTATCAAGGGTAATGCATACAATTCGGCCTTTAAGGTCGCCTCTTGTATTTTAATAGGCACATCCCAATAAACTTCGAACATCTTAATCATTCCCCATTTGCAACTCTTACTTCTAAAAGATCTACCTTTGTCATATGCAATATCAATTTATCAAACAATGAAGCACTAAAAAGTTATGGGGCGAACCGTTGTTAATTAACACTACTATACGTCGATCATGAGCCCATGTCGGCATCTTCATTGTAGTAGGCCCTTGAGTTCCCACCATTGCATGGACCGATATCTCGAGATCCTCTTGAAGTGAATAAGTTTCACCCGGGCTCCTTCAACTCGAACCGGCCTCCGTACCTGCAGAACCCAAGCCGGGGTGGCCCCGGCGTCGGGCCTCCGATGCCTAAGTCAGTGCCCAGATCAAGAGAGAGAATGTGTGTAGTAAATGAATAATGAGAGAGTGAGAATAAGAGATACCTTACCCCCTTTTTATAGGGGAAGTGTACCTTTTGGGCCCAAGTTGGGCTTGGCCCATATCGCGATGCTATCTGTACTTTGTTCGCACGTGGGCTTATCTTCCAATATGTATTCGTTTTATCCGATAAACCGGGTCTAGTATAATATCCTATATCATCTAGTCCCCCCACTCTGGTCGAGTAAGCATAACTCGATCCAAGAGTGAAATGTCTCTTCGAGCCGCTTCCGTTAACCTGCCACTGAGGTTGAATGTCTCTGGTCGACAACGTCCACGCCTCCGGGCTGGACGACCACAATATTTTCGGAACATCCCTTAGGGTGGGCAAGTGACAAGACCAAAGTCCCTCGTTTATGGAACACCCCTGATCCTGCGATAGGGGTGGGCGAGGGTCGCTCGTTTTTGGAACACCCCGCTCAAGGGGTGGGCGAGTGACAAGACCAAAGCCCTTCGTTTATGGAACACCCCGATCAAGGGGTGGGCGAAGGTCGCTTGTTTTCGGTACACTCTAAGGGCCATGTGGTCGACAACATCCACGCCTCCGGGCTAGACGACCACAATGTTTTCGGAACATCCCTTAGGGTGGGCAAGTGGCAAGACCAAAGTCCCTCGTTTATGGAACACCCATGATCCTGCGATAGGGGTAGGCGAGGGTCGCTCGTTTTCGGAACACCCCGTTCAAGGGGTGGGCGAGTGACAAGACCAAAGTCCTTCATTTATGGAACACCCCGATCAAGGGGTGGGCGAAGGTCGCTTGTTTTCGGTACACTCTAAGGGGTGTGCATGTGGTCGACAACGTCCACGCCTCCGGGCTGGACGACCACAATGTTTTCGGAACATCCCTTAGGGTGAGCAAGTGACAAGACCAAAGTCCCTCGCTTATGGAACACCACTGATCCTGCGATAGGGGTGGGCCAGGGTCGCTCGTTTTTTGAACACCCTGCTCAAGGGGTGGGCGAGTGACAAGACCAAAGCCCTTCGTTTATGGAACACTCGGATCCTATGATAGGGGTGGGCGAGGGTCGCTCGTCTTCGGAACACCCCGCTCAAGGGGTGGGCGAGTGACAAGACCAAAGTCCCTCGTACGGGTAACTCGAGCAGGTTAATAGATTCATTGGATTTGATTTTGTGGTACCGTGTTTCTAACCCCAATGATAGGTCGATCAAACTCGCTACGGATAGCTCGAGCAGGTTAATGTATTCAGTGGATTTGGTTTAGTGGTATTCTGTCTTTAACCACAATGGCAGGTCGATAATATGCATAACAGCTCGAGCAGGTTGATTACATTTCACTTGATTCAAGGTCATTTATGGATTCTGGTTTGGTTGTTTGCTGATTCTGGTTTGTCGAATTTGCTTATTTCGACCTCCTTGGCGGGTCAAGTATATTCATTTTGCTCGAGCAGGTCATTTATGGATTCTGGTTTGGTTGTTTGTTGATTTTGGTTTGTCGAATTTGCTTATTTCGACCTCCTTGGCGGGTAAAGTATATTCATTTTGCTCGAGCAGGTTGTTTATGGATTCTGGTTTGTCGAATTTGTTTATTTCGACCTCTTTGGCGGGTCGAGTATATTCATTTTGTTCGAGCAGGTTGATGGTTTTTGCTTGGTTTGGTCTTGTCGAATCTATTTTTCGACCTTGGTGGTAGGTCGAGGAGTTCATTCAGAGCAATCCACGAAATCAGGTTGTTTGCGTTTTGAGAGGATATACAACAGGCTTGAATTTTAAATTTTGAACTGAGGGGCGATAGGACGAGGGGGTATAAGAGAGCTCGAACATGGTGATCGAAACACAACATACGTAAATTCAAATTTTCAAATTCAAAATTTCAGGGAGTGGTCATTCAGTTTATGTTTTTCGACCACATCGGCGATTATCAGTGGTCTTTCGGTTTTTTGTTCTCGTTTTCAGTGGCATCGCGGCTTTTGCTTTTCGACCACATCCGTGGTCTCGATTCTCAGTTTTTGACCTTCGCGGTCTCGACTCTCGGTTTTCAACCTCCGCGGTCTCAACTCTCGATTTTCAACCAGAACTTATTTAACATATAACCTCAGTGGCAGGTTAACGGAAGCTGCTCGAAGAGACATTTCACTCTTGGATCGAGTTATGCTTACTCGACCAGAGTGGGGGGACTAGATGATATAGGATATTATACTAGACCACGTTTATCGGATAAAACGAATAGATATTGGAAGATATGCCCACATGCGGACAAAGTACAGATAGCATCGCGATATGGGCCAAGCCCAACTTGGGCCCAAAAGGTACACTTCCCCTATAAAAAGGGGGTAAGGTATTTCTTTCACTCACTCTCTCATTATTCATTTACTACACACATTCTCTCTCTTGATCTAGGCACTGACTTAGGCATCGGAGGCCCGACGCCGGGGCCACCCCGGCGTTGGGTTCTGCAGGTACGGAGGCCGGTTCGAGATGAAGGAGCTCGGGTGAAACTTATTCACTTCACCTCTAATCATTATTATTTTTTTATTCATCCTCCACTAAGTCATCGTCATCGGAACCAACATATTCAATTAAACAAGATCACCTTCTTTTGAACCGATGACCCGGCGTGAACTTCTCGTCACAACTGAAACACATGCCTTTCTTTCGCCGCTTCTGCATCTAGTCCCAAGGTAAGCGTTTAACCCCCGAAGGAATACGCTTTACATTTTATGTCGATGTAATGTCACTGGTCCTCTGCACATTACTGATAAAAGGTGTTGGTCGTCTCGTCTCCGGTCGATTGATCTTGCGCATTGCCATCAAATGATCGTCACGCATGCGGGCGGCCTCCATTGTTGCACGCATGATTCTCAGTTTGTCTAGACGCACCTCAGTTGTTAAATCAGGCATCAAACCTTCAATGAACGAGCCGACAAATGCTCCATTCGATCAATCATGAACTCGACTCGCGATTCGTTCCAACTCCTTTTGGTATTCTCGTAAAAAGCTTTATCATAATCATAATAATCTAAGGATCCAAACCTGGTAAGAAACTCATTTTCAATGTTCCTTTAACACCGACTTATTTTCCTTTCGGTAGATCCTTGATAATCATTTCCACCACACATTTGCTTCCCCGTCGAGGTTAGAGGCGGCATATCTAACCCTTTCAGATTTTTTTTATGTCATTGATCTCGAAATATTAAAAGGCATGATTCAACCACGATTCCATATCTATACCATTGAATGTAGGAAGGATCAACTTTGGCCTCTCACCGTGCTGCCTTTCCCCATGATTCGAACCCCTTGATTGAACATCGTGTCCATCGTAAATTCATTTTGATATTCGCATTCTCCTTCAGAATAAGTTGAACCTTTTGAGAATGAATCGTATCAGTTGCCTCTTCGTGCACGCCTTCCAATTTGGATGAAGCATCATTTGCTCGATTCTAGCCACCACCTGATTCGTTATCTTCTCGGCATTGATATATTTTTCTCTTCCAATTGCTCGAGCCTTTCTCGATTCGTCTTGGTGATACACGATTAGTATCACTCAATGAGATCACCAATATTGAGAATCGTGTATCAACTGTCGATTATTGTATCAAAATTCGCACCGACGGCCTTGATTTTGAAACGATTTTGTGTTAAAAAACGAGCGGTTTTGATATTATTAACTTGATAATCCCTAATCTGGTAAGTCCCTTAAATTACATACACACAAAACACAAGACACACTTCAAATATTCAAACAAATAACTAATCTCGCCATAGCCAACGTCCACTAAAATACGAGACCGTCGTGGCGCGACGGGGTGTCACAGAGTGACACCTTGGCCTGCCCCTAGTCTCTGTCGTCGTGAAGGTTTTCGCGGCGTGAGTTTTTCTGCTCCATCGCGGTGCACCGGAGTGCCGAGCTGCGACACCCTGGCATACTATCAGGCTTTTGTGACGACCTCGTGACCCTGCTCGCGGCGCGACACCCTGGCAACATGCCATTTGTTGTTATTTAATCCGTGCACATCGAGTCCAGTTGTAGGCATTCTTCGAACCACGAACTGTCATGCTCATGTTAGTACAACGCTTCATCCTGCTAAAATTGTGCAAATATGGTGCAAACTCATCATCATCCTCCGCTAAAATAGAGCATATATTTGCTGGTACTTTGACTTTTACATTGATATAAAATAAAACGTATCATAGAACTAAAAACAAACATGAGTTAACACTCAAGTATACAACAATTTATATTCACGCAAGTCTATATTTAGTTCAACAAAATAACTTCTTTATTAACTCAATAAATCACTTTTTGATCCCTGACGATTCTGACGATTCGGATCTGACCAATCCATAAAGATATATCATATAATTGGGATGACGAGAGGAAGGTAAAAACGACAAATTTATCTCTCAATTTTTTATTTTTTTATTTTTTCGAAGCGATAGAGTTTATACCCATATAAGCAAAAGAGGCCGAAGCCAATACAATGTATCACCAATACAATGAGCCACAATAGAAGAAGCATCTACTTCTTACATAAAATACAAAAGATAAAGATATTCTCTCCGCGAAGGCAAAAGCTAAGAACCCGAGAGTCCATCTCTATCTTCTCCCTGCTAAATTCTCAGGTGCAGTGGCTAATCTCTCAATTTTGCATATGTAGCATTTTTGTTTGTCAACTTTATGGGTAGCAATTTTTTGCCAGAGTAATTATATGTTACCTGGCAAAAATTACTAAAAAAAAAAAAATAGTCGATGGACAAAAATTGTAACTTCAAGCTAGTCCACTAAAATTGTTATGTGGAAAATGTTAATGAAATAGTTCCGCATTTTTTCGACAAGAGGAATAAGAGACCACGAGGCAGGCGGAGGGAAGAGCTAATTCCTATTGAGAGGATGGGGTGGGAAATATTTTTACATTGGGCATAGACATCCATACATTAAAGGAAGATGCAACATTTTTCTATTTCAATTCTATCAAACAAAATAAAACATCACCAACTCTCAAAGTTAATCTTTGTGCTCATTCTATTTCATAAAATCTGGAATACCAAGTTTAGAACTGCTTGAACACAGGTGCTACCAACATCTTTATCAGCCACAGCGCCGGATTCCACATGGGTCGACCTGCAAAAGTAAATAGAATAAACAGGTTTAAAAAGACGTTCTAATTTCAAATTGCAATCTGCACAGTAAGGGAAATCTCTTCTTGCTAGGCTACATTTATCACATTTTTTTCTTCCAATCCTGTACGAAGAGTAAGGCCTAGCCGTATTCGAGATATGGCAGTGTCAAGCAGCCTATTACGCTGCTTATTTTCGTTGAAAAACAAAATTTGATAATCCAAAGTTCACATACTTCTCCATTTAGTATCCCAAATTTCAACTTTATAAAATTTACGCCCCAAATTTCATAAATTAATCACATCCCAGTATTTTTGTTAGTTGATCGTATTTGGCCAACACTGAACTGAAGATGCAGTCAGTTGAATTTTTGCAGAAAGTAAAATTCTAGAAAACCTTTTTATGTCATATCCAACGTCGGCACTCTAAATGTCCAGGAATTGGCTGTGATTCAGGCAGGCAAGGCACGTAAAAACAATAAATTTTGTTAAAAGGAATCAAGGTAATAACCCAACCACACTCATGGTTCCATTTTGGTAATCCACAATAATGGATAACTTGTTGTATTATTTGATTTGAGTAACCGATATATTAGCTGATAACTAATAACTATTTGTGGATTGATTTTGTAAAATGACTGATAAAGATCGTACACACACAGACACACACACACACTTTTAGTAAGGCCTCACCTAATGAAAGTTCCAACCAAGCAAGATGCTTAAATGAATGGCTGAACCTACCCCGAGCATAGATATCATGAAAGTGGTCTGAACTAGCTAGCTCCAAGCATAATGCAAAGAGTTCCACCATATTTTTCCCCCATTAACGCCTTCACAATACCAGAAGAAGAGCAGAAGGTGCATTAAAGAATAGTTGACGAGCATCTCGAATTAACAAAAAAGAACAGAAATTCATATTTCTCAAAAGAAAAAAAGGAGTAAGGCAAGGGAGCAGATAGAACCTGCAAGTGAGGAAGTATGACATTGACGACTTGTAAAAATAATTCGGACTTCACAGCTAACCTGGGGGAGCAGAAAAACAGATCATTAATGAATAGTGGACATTAAAACAACATGGAGAGAACTTTCTAATAATCAGAAGCAACATGGTTCAGGAGTCGGATACAAAGTGCATAAATCTATTAAAGACAGTGGAACAAGCGCAATTAAAAGACGCCAGGAAGAACGGTTATGATAGCATACACTCATCATTTCACAGAATCTAGTCACAGTACCGTCTTCCATAAAATCCGACTATAATCTAAAATTACCTTTTCAGAAGGCATATACAAAGATAGATCTCCTCAACATCTGTTCTAATTTTCAGATTCACGTATTGCTTGAAAAGCTCACACAGCCAACTCATGGTATCATCAGATACGCTATTTGCCACCTCTACAGTTTGAACTAATCCAGACATCATATGTTGAAGTAGAGTAGACAAAACACCACCAGATACTGACCGATAAATCATTACAAAGCTATTCAACGTGGTACATTTGCTCCTTTCAAACATCTCAACCCACTTTGGAGGACTTCCGCTCCAAAGGTCACTTAACTCAGAAGCTGCACATTCAGTCTGTTTATCAATCACATAACTGGAAGAACCTTCTGCAGATTCTTGTTCTCTGTGCTGGGGAAGATGCTCGATGATGTCTTTTCTCAACTCATCGGGTAATTGTTTCAACACTGAGCAATCCACTTGACTTAGAGATGATGGCAATAGATTGTCTACAGAAAATGAAGGCATCGTAACATGAACTGTGGGTGCCTGCACACAAAGCTCCATTTCCTTCAAAATACAAGATACTATATAGTTAAGTAGCTGGTTAAAAATATAAGCGAATAATTACATCAAGTAAAGAAATCTAAGATTGTCAGTAAATGATCTTTACAGTTAAAATATACTATGAAATATTATTTGTTTTAAACTACAACCACTGCCCAACCTAGTAACCGAAGTAGAAGTTCAGTGGATACCTTATCAGCATCAATTGTTTTTGCTGGAGGATATTCTGTTTCCTCAACTGGTACACCTACATGCACCATACTTGCATGAACAACTTACAACGCACCAAAACAAAGATAACGAAAAATAAATTGCTGTGTGTGACCGTGTGTGTGTGTGTTGGGGAGGGGGAGGGATTTATGAGAAGCTATAATTTACTTGCCTTCCCTACTTTGTGATGTAGAGCAGGGTTTTCTTTTGACAGATCTGTTCTTAGCTTTGAAAATGTAACTTAATAATTCTCCACCATACATGTCATTCATCTCTGAAACCACTTCAGGAGGGAGAGACTCCAAAACGACTATATCAAGATCTTCAAGAGGAGGGAGGCTAGTTATCAGGGAACCACCAGCTTCAGAACTGGACAAACCAGATCCCATACCATCATAGGATCTTGTTGTGCTCGGCTGACCTGAAAGTTCACCAATATGTCTTGAAGCATCTAAGAACGAACAGCAACTGGGATGTATCCATAACACCACCAAACATGTTAAATTCAATTATGAAGTATCTTTCTTAAATACAGTAAATGTGTACGGCATTTTAGCAATGAGATAAAATATATGTTCAAACTTCATATAGCTCTTTTGCTTCAAAGATAAGTAATTCAAACTTATTTAGCCTGTGGAGCAATTTAGATAAGAGATTAAGAGATAAATTAAGTCCCAAGAAATGACAATGGAAAAGAGGCTGCCAATTACTCAATTCCAGGAAAAATAAATATAAAACCTATGCAGCTGCCAATTACTCAATTTCAGGAGAAAAGAATATAAAAGGACTGACAAGTTGCAGAATCAGTTGTTTACTGGAGCCAGTTGAAAGAAAGCATGCTTGAAGGAAAAGAAAACAAAAGGACCAAGATGGAACAGCAACTGAAAATTAGAAATAGAATGGTGACGAGGAAATTTAGGGCAAAAATAATAGGCTATTCTCAGGTTTAAGTTCCTTAGATATTGAATTAGGACAACAATCATAAATACTGGAAGGACAGTCGTGAAATGAAATCACATTATCATTTTTAATTCTTTATAGATTAAAATTAGAACAATAACAAAGCACAAATACATAAAGGACAATCACGAAATGAAATTGCAACCATGTAAAGTAATATTGCATTCATTATCTCCTTAATAAATGGAGACCAAGGCAATTTTGAAATCAAAAGAATCTCTACTATCAAACAGACTTCCCAGAAACCTATTAGATGAAAAGTGAAACAACCTTTCTGAAGTTATAAGACGACAAAGGTATCACCTAAAATTGCGTAAAGAATAAATCAGTTAAAGGTTAAAGCAACTAGCAAGACTATCACCTAGAAAAAAAAAAAAAAA